TTTTGTCACCTTAAATACTTTGACCTTAACATTTGCTGGATTAACTTCCTGTATTTGCAGGCAGTGCCTGACAGCCTCATGAGGTTGTATTGCCCACTATTCATGTTAATAGGAATACGTGTGGTGTATCTGGTTGGTTAGCAGAAAGTCAGCAAATACAGTGTAAAGATAATACTTTGTAATGAAGCAACACTTCAGTGGCTATGCTAGCTGGTGAGATGTTTCTTCAGGAAAGTAACCTCATAAAAGAAATAGAAAAATTATACAATCAAATAATGTTGAGATCCGGGATTCATGCTTGGCAATGTAACATGTGACCAAATAACACTTTAAATTGCTACTTTTTAATAGTTCCACCTTCTTATGACTCGGAGTGACAGGACTTATTGACAACAAATTAACTTGCTGGTTGCAAAATTGCATTATAAATTAAATATTACCATAATGTTCTGTCTTGCAAATACTCTTATGAATGAATCTCTTAAAGGAAGCATTAACTACTTTTTACTTTTAATAGGTTGAGCCTGCTTCCCTGTATTATGCAAACTGCTGAATGGAGGAAAGGGGCGGAAGTCAGTCTTTGCCATTTCTGTTACCATCCTGCATGGTTCTTTACCCATGTTTTACAGGATGGTGAAGAATTAGGAGAAGCTGCAGTTGTTTAGCTGAGTAGAACTAAATGGGTGACTTCCCTCTGGACTGTCACTTTGGTGTCTTAGCTAAGAGGGGTGACCTGCTTCTTTTGAAGCAACTTGTATTTCCTTAGAACAGAGGTATGTGTGTTTTAAGAGAAACTTCTAGTTAGTGAAGCAGAAGTTTTGACTTTTTTTTTTTTGTAGTCTCGTGGCTTGAAAAGGATATTCACAGTATGTATCTGTTCAAGGCTTTTAATTAAAAAGCAACACTGTTTGCATCCATCCAAATAGCTTTAAAAACATGCTCTGTGTTCACATACTTTACCTTTGAGAGTCATGCTTATCTTGTGTAGTATGTCAACAGTGGGACTGTACCAGAGGCGAGTTACAGCGGTGATGTTTTAGCATAAATTTGAACTGATGTACCAGTTGGCTGCTTGATAGAGAGAGTCATACTTTTTTTCATGTTCAGTCCTTGTATGCCATAATCTCAAAGCTGTGGCCTAAGTAACTAAATAACACAAAATTTAAGTGTCTCAAAAACTGTAAGGTATAGTATCTCAGTTTGAGACCCGGTGGAGATTTGGTCTTGGTGAGCCTTGCATCAACCAGTGGGATCACAAGCAGAAGATAATGGAACCTGTATTTGTGTTTGGTGGTTGTTGCATAAATGTTTGGCAGCAATTAGTATGCATGGTTTGTTTTTCAATCTGGTGTTCTCTGAGGATGGTAGCAGGACTTTTGCTGTCTTGACCAAAGTAGAGTTCCAGGGGTGAGGCTAGTTTTTCATCTCTCCTTCATAGAGGCCACACCCTTACTGCCTTTGGTGGACCCCTATTTGGACTTGATACTTCCTTGATAAGCATTACACCAAAGAAATTGGTGAAATGAGGAGATTAGAATGACAAGTTAACACCCCCTCTCCACTTCCGTTAGGAGCTGAGTGCAGAGGAGGCACAAGAGCTATCTGTAATGTGTTGCCAAGCTTGCGTGGTGCTGAGAGATGCCAGACTTGTCCAGGCAGCCAGGCTCTGGCACTACTTGTGTACTCCTGCTCTGGTATGCTCTGTGGGACCCAGGTTGGAGCAGCTGCAGTTCGGCAAGCTTGGTGTGTTAGAGGGTGGTGGAGTGTCTCTTAAAGGAGCTGAACTTCTAAAATGGGCTGCACGTCAAAATACTTCAGGAAATGCTACTATAGTTGTAGGTGAGTGTTTCTTTTGCATTATGGTTAGTCATGTGTTTGAGCTGATTACCTTAATGCTAAAAATATTTTGATTTTACTGTACTGTATTTTTTATTAAAAGGTATCAAAAACTTTTACAAAGCTAGATAATACTGATAAGGTCTATCACTGCTTCAGAATTTCTGTTTCCAATACAGTGTTTCATCTTTCATATTTGTATAGCCATATTCAGATGATTACTTTTTATTTCATGGTGAAATCTCATACCCCACTCTTGGTGATGAATATTGTGGTTTAATATGGGTATATAGCCTATTTTCTTTTTAGAAAGTCCGAAGTATACTAGCGTACACTGGCTGCAGTAGCAGCACGTAGATGCGTTTCAGCTGTTGTAGCAAAACTTGCCTATTGTGGACCATAGCAATATATACTACCGGTCCACACAACCTACAAGTTCCGTGGGAGTTCAGGGGCACACAGCAGCTCTTAAGAGAGTGTGTCACTTCTGTTAAATACTGGTATTTCTTGGTTGCAAAGGTTGTAAGGTTGGTAATAAATACTCCATTTGCATGATTCCTATGATATGAATATGATATTGAAAGAAGGATGTTTGTAAATACTTTTTTAAAATTTGGCTAATGTAGTTATATTAAGAATTTCAGTCACAGAAGAAAATGATTCTTAGTTGAACTTACATGTTTGAAATTGTGTGAGAGCATCTATAATAGGTAAAACATTTGCAGTTTTCTTTAGGGTAGTGTGCTCAGTATTTTTTCTTCTACTCCTGTCTTATGTCAGTTACTGAAAAAAAAAAAGTGGAAAATGTTTTTTAAGCACCTGCTAGAGGTGACTTCATGATGTCTTTCATCAGGCCAAACGTGAGAGTTGTAAAGTATTTTTCATAATTTATAATTAATTTCTTAAATATTTTTCAGTTCTATACACTACACTTTGGTTAATTCAGTAGCTTACCATCTTTGTTGATACTCAGTGTGCCTTGAAGTCTGTTTTTCTTATTGAAAATGGATGACAGTTGTAAAAAAGCATCTCTTTGGCTCTGGTCATCTGACAGATCAAGATTTCTTTATGTTGAGTGGAAGCAATAGTGTTAGCCATGCTTATAGTCACATTTGTCATTTGCATTTTTTTAGGCACATGTGGCTTAATGCTAATTAATAAGTATACTAAAGATGAATGTTGAAGCACATCTGACTTAAATTATTTTCATTCTTTTTAGACAAATATTACAGATTCTGTATTTCTTTTTGTTGCTGTTCATGTAATGTTTGTACAATTTTTTTTGGTAGACTGCTGAACTCCTGCCTTGGTGGTAGCTGGTGGGGGGAGATTGAGGAAAGAGAACTGGAAGTCCAGCACTTTAGTGCTGTTTAGTGCTGTTGGAATTACTTCCCTTCTGCTGCTAGCTATGTGTTATTAAGCAAATCCCATCTCCACTGTGGTCTTGTTTCTTCTGTAAATTGTACTATCTTAAAACTACATAGATTCAGTTATGTTGGGGAAACATTGTTTTCTTTTCTCTTATTGCTGGGCAGTAATCATCCGATAAATGTATTTGTGATCCTTTTTCATGCTGTACTTTGTGCTCTGCTCGTACTCTGCGCACAGTGAAAGTTGGTGCCTGTGTACCTTAGAGGAGAGTGAGTGGATTTTATATAGATGACATTGCTCTGTGTATGCACATGAACAAATCTATACATCAGAGTTTAATCTCAAAGTCCTGTGATACAAGCTGTGAAAATATTGGTCACATTTGTCACAATACTTTTAACTGAGTTTGGTTAATGACATCACAGTGAATGAAGAATTATTCTTTAATAGAATATATTTCTGGATTTCTGCTGTTGGTACGTAGTGGAAGCATCACCTCCGAACAGGAAAATAGTTACTGTCTCATATTGTTTGGATAAATTTATTCTTTTTTTTTTTTCCTTCTGAATGGTAGTAAAGTTTTATTGACACATTTCATAACATTAACTCATTAATCCTAATTGTACATAAATCCACATAATTATTATAATTGTTTGTTGAAATAGCAATCTTGTTTCATGAAACAGGTAGAGTGCCCTATTTAACTTTTTTCTTTAAATGCAAAAAATTGTGTACAAACTGTTAGTGCTGTAGAGGTTTACTGGCACAACTGTGTCGGTCCAGGATCACGCCATTTCACAGCCCTGGTAAAGAATTGGGCCTTTGGTGCTGGATGGGTTCTCTGTGGTTTGACATCTTTTAAAACAAACCTGAATGTACTCTTAAGGTAATGAGATCAGGGTTTCCTTTGTGAGAGCTCTGATCTATGTTGGAGATCAGCCTAAATCAGCTGCATTGGATTTGTTTGTTCTTAATAGAGTTTTTAGAACAAAGAAATTAAGTATTAAATCTTCACAGCACTAAAAATGTCCGCTGTGCCGAATTAGTAACTTTTTGGAAGTTGTCTGCTTATATGCTTATTCCTGTCACTTTTTCCCCTGAAATTGGCTATGCTTTTAGGTGTTGAAAATATTTGGACTATATTTTAGTCATGTGTCGCTTGTTAATTATGTCTTCCCTGAAAATGAACAATTTATAGAAAAGCTTATCAAACTCCAGCAGTTCTGCACAGCCAGGACAAAGATGTCATTCTATCTGTGGCTTCTTTTGAGTGTTGTTGGTTTTTTTTTTCGTATTGGGGGTGGGAGGGGAAGGAGAAGCCTTGCTAGAATCTCCCAGAAGAAGGAAATGGATATTTGTAATGAGCTGGATGAATGGAATTGTAAAACTCTATTGCATCACTGGGGAGGAAAAGAACAGAGAACAGTGTGTCTATGGACTTTCTGCTTTTGTAGTTTGCCTAACATCCTAAGTATTTTCTTTTGTGGTTTTGGTTTTTTTTGGGTGTTGTTTTTTTTTTTTTGTGGTATGGAAAATATGATTTAGTTTGGGAAGTCATACGATTTAGTTTTAGGTAGTCCTGTGAGGAGCAGGGAGTTGGACTCAATGATCTTTATGGGTCCCTTCCAACTTCAGATGCTCTGTGATTCTATTCTATGATTCTATGTTTCCTTTAGTTGCCAACTTGTGACTAACTGAATGGCCATCCTTGAATGAATTGTTTTTAAGTTGCATTGAGTTTCAGATTGGTATGGAGCATAGCACAAAAACTGAAATGCAATGTTTTGCATTATAGGTACAAGAACTGTAGAAGTCCACTTTAGAATTTGGAAGAAAAGTTTCTGCAGCTCTGGAAGGATATGGTATGTTTATGTTTTCATTTATATTGTGTATATACTAATAATAAGAACAAATATGTTTCTCTTCCCTCATTTGAAAAAGAAAGTTGAAAATAAATTCGGGAAGAAACATACACATTAATTCTTCCCGTATTTTTTTGATGGTGTCTATTACTTAGGCATAGTTCTTTAGAAAACTGATCTACTTGTTTTTTCTTGGAGAAAATAAATACTGATGGTACAACATTGGTGAATTCCCTTTTAATTTGTTTTACAAGCTCAGTATTACACTGCTACCATCCATCTATTTCTTCGTGGATTGGATAAGATTCAGTGCTGTTTCTTAAAGTTTTTTTCCTTGCTGCTGAGCATGTTTATAGTGAGACTTGCACAGTTTTTCAGGTATGACTTGCAAAATAAGTTCAGAATGACTAGAAAACTTAAGCAGACATCCATGTGAGTCAAATTTGCATGTTGGAATGTTAGGAAATAAAGAAATGTAACTTTCAGTTAGCAGTGCTAACATCAGCCTGTGGCACATGGTGTCTCTTCTTGTCTAAGCTCTTAAATGTCCAGCCAGCTTAAAAATATGTACATGCATTACAGCAAGGCTGGAACCTTAACTTGTACTTATTTTAATTTCCATTTTCTAACGTTATTCTGGTGTAGTCCAATGGAGATACCTGGTAGTATGGAATAGCTGCACTACTCTATAGCCTCCTAAGTTCTATAGTTCTGCAGCTATACACAGAGAATTTCTGAAACTTTTTAAATTGCTGTATTCAGAAAAACAATTATTGTTTAAATTAATTTTTCTGCCATATTAAATAGGTCTGTTAGTGCTTATATAAAATGGTATATAGTTACTTCAGCTACTTCTGAGCTATGTGTATACTTTCTTTTATCAACCACTTAAAATGTGGGGAAGAACTCAGTAACTTCTTATACAAGTTTTGTAACCTGTATGTTTATGTCTAGACTTTTATTTTTAAGATACTTAATGTAAGAACATGTTTAAAGTTTTGAAATGTCAACCTTGCAGAAGAGTTGTTGGGTGTCTTTTCTTTTTCTGTTTCGTAGGAAGCTATAGACAGGAGTTAAAATTATTAATTCTAAGCTGAAACTTTAAATATAGCGTGTGCTAGTTAAAAACGGTAGATCTCTTAAAAAGCCATAATGTTACGTTATCACAATCCAGATGTTCCTGAGAGAATTGTATAGAATGGTCCTTTACTCTAGCAGGCATCTGGCAGGTAGTCTATATTCATTTTTTGCACCCACAGCACCACTGGGACCACCCACCTGCTTCTTGCTCTCCACTTTCAATACCAGTTGTGTGTATGATTGCTCTTCTTCAAACCTAAGCTCTTATTTCTTTATTGCCATTGTTTCTGCTGGCTGCTTTTTTGGAATGTTTTAACTGCTTGCTGCTGTATGTATGCGTAGTCTTTAAAGGTGTGTGTTTCACAAATTGATGAACAAGAATTCTCTAATCCTCAAAAACTTGAGTAATGAATACTAATGGGACATCAGAAAAGCTGAATATTATGCTACAGAATTGAGCGATTGCTTGGTCTTCGTATGAACTACATATAAACAAACATGCTAGTGGCACCAGAGAACTTGGTGAACAGATAGGTACTTGAGATGGAAGGCTGTGTGGAAGATGGGTAGCAAAATAACAAAGCATAAGCAAGAGGACAGATGGAATAAAAGTTTAAATATTAAAGCTGAAGTGAAGCTATAAAACTTACCTGTTTGGAAAATAACATGATACCTAGCTAGTAAAAGGAGAGCTGCTAGAAGAAATTTAAATAGATTGGATTTCACCTCCTAGTATAGGGGAGGCTTTCCATTCATAACTGTATATCGTTTTGGAGGGAGCCTGAAGTAGCAGGCATAACTGATAAGCAAATGATTCTGCTGCAAAAAATCAGGAATGTGTGTAGTGGAAGTAAAATTGCTATGGTGTAAGTGAAAAATGCAGAATCTAAAATAATTTCAAGTCTTTCCCTCTTTTACAAAGGCGAATAAAGTACATCTATGATCTCAAACCAAAAAGTAATGTTGAAGGGAAAATCTAGTGTCCAGAGTTGTGGGGGCAGTTGTAGAAAATGACAGTAAATGCACAGGCCTTTAGCTTAGGGACGGGCAGAGAGAATGGGAGCAAACATGAGCCAGCAGTGTGCCCAGGTGGCCGAGAAGGCCAATGGCATCCTGGCCTGCATCAGAAATGGCATGGCCAGCAGGACTAGGGAAGTGATGGTGCCCCTGTACTTGGCACTGGTGAGGCCGCACCTTGAATCCTGTGTTCAGTTTTGGGCCCCTCACCACAAGAAGGACATTGAGGTGCTGGAGCAGGTCCAGAGAAGGGCAATGAAGCTGGTGAAGGGTCTGGAGCACAGGTCTTATGAGGAGCGGCTGAGGGAGCTGGGGTGGTTTGGTCTAGAGAAGAGGAATCTGAGAGGAGACCTTACCACTCTCTACAACTACCTGAAAGGAGGTTGCAGTGAGGTGGGTGCTGGCCTCTTCTCTAAAGTAACGAGTGATAGGACAAGAGGAAACGGCCTCAAGTTGCACCAGAGGAGGTTTAGGCTAGATATTAGAAAAAATTTCTCCACTGAAAGAGTGATCAGGCATTGGAACAGGCTGCTCAGGGAAGTGGTGGAGTCACCATCCCTGGAGGGGTTCAAGAAACATGTAGGTGTGGTGCTTAGGGACATGGTTTAGTGAGTTAGGTGGTGTTGGGTTGGACTTAATGATCCTCGAGGTCTTTTCCAACGTTAATGATTCTATGATTTTTATGATTCTAAACACTAGACCTTTTTCTGTTACTATGTGGTTTGTGGAGTACTGACATCAAGGCAAAGTAAGTATACAGATACTATAGGATGAAGCTTTTATATAAATCTATAGTTGATCTCTGCATATTGAGATGCACCAAATTCTACCTTTGTTGAACTCAGTAACTTGTGTTTTTACCCAAGTGTAGATTCCAGAATGGTACCAACTTTAATTTGAAGATAGTAGCAAATTGAGATCCCCACCCCAAATAATTTATTCAGATATTAATTGTCCTTACTGTCCTGCATGCTTTTCTTCCTACTCTAATTGGAATTTGTTAGCTTTTAATTTCTAGTTATGTGGAAGTTTTATATGCTTTCTTTTAATTAGAGGATCTTTTTTTATGTATTCTTTCTGTGCTGTGAGAGGACTTAAGTTTCTTCCAGTGTCGATATTGATTAGCTTGATTAACTTTGAAGTCTTTTTATTATCTAATCACAAGGCACTTTCTCCTATCTTCTTGCTGTCTTTGTGGCTCTTTTCTGCTACTTCTGGAATACTTTTGAAGAATATTGAATAACTGGACAACTGGGCTCAAGTTTTGAACATGTCTGAAGTACTTTGTGCGGATGAACAGACACCTTTCCAGGAGCTCTTCATGAGTCATATCTGTTGTTTGTCCTGTAATACTGGGAGCATGTGTGTGTTTGCTCATCAGTTGTGACTACCTTAGTAATTTTAGATTGTCATTTTCCAGGATAGAACTCAATTCTTTTGGTCTTCTAACTATGTGATTTTGTGTGTGTTGTTATTAGTTGAATGGTTTGGTTTACCAGACAGTGGAAAAAAATCCATATAGATACCTTATTACTCGTTTTTTGCAGCTCCATTAGGACTTATGTAGTCAGGTTTTATTAGTGGCTGTTTTATTTTACACTGATATTTTGACCTGCTATTAGTTGCATGGAGAAAACGTCTGCAATCTTACGTCTTTTCATGTTTTCTGTGTTGGAAGTAGCATGCAGGCAACAAAAGCAATTGATGTTTCCAGCCTTACCAGGAAATTAAGTCTTGAGCATGCCTATTACATTTTTTTTTTCTGCGAGTTACTGTTAAGGTTGAACTTAGGGATTTGGTGGATATTCTACAATTTCCTCCAGGCCACTTGATGAATCAGTCTGAAGTTATAAAAGTTGCCTGTTAGTTGGCCGTTCCTTTTTTTGAAGTAGTAAGATAGCTAGGGTAGTTCTGAGGGCATCTTTTAATGTGTAGATGATGACTGTCTGTTTCATCATGGTACTCGAAGTTATTCTGGAAATGCTTCAAATTTTAGAAGATCATTCATTCTATCTTAAAAAAAAAATTGGATCAAAGGTGGCTTGGGTGGAGACTTAAATTCTTCTGTAAAGGAAATATAAATCCTTAAAAATGCCACCTCCCAGGGTACCCATCATTCAGTAAGGTCAATAAGAAATCAGTTTAAATAAGAAAGTGTTCCTTCACTCAAGGATCTTCGTAGACCTCAGATACTGGGTGTCAGCTGCCAGATAGCTGTGCTGTCAGAGAAACTGAGCACCTGGACATCAAATAGCATAAGGAAAGTAATAGGTACAGGCCATGTAACTGGCAACTTTCAATTAAATTATTTGTAACTGGAAGTTTTTTTTGGCTTTTATTTTTGATTGATAGCAAATAGGTACTTATGTTCTCCATGGCATGGCTTTAGGTTCTGTGTTTTGAAATTGGGGGCTGCCTCTTGGCTCATGTTTGTGATTCTAGACTTTGAAGATTAAATGAAACATGCAAGTAGAAGATCTCATCAGGTGATGCAACAAAGTTAGGTTTTAGCCCCTTATTCCGCACCTGAACTTCGTTTCTGATTTTTTGTTCTTTCACTGACTTATAATTTATTTCCTCCCTCTTTTTCAGTCAATAGAAACATTATTTTCAGAAAATCTGCACTTTTGTCACCTTGGAGAAATGGGTGTAGTCTCAAATTACTGCATAAACGTTATTGATCCTGTTCCCTCTCAACGAGTGCTACTCTGTGCCATACAGGGTTCTTCAGATGCATGGTTTGAAGGCATGGATTTTATGTATTGTCTTGCTAATTATAACAAGTTGTTACAGTCCTGGTTGATTCTACCTCTTGTAAATAGTCACTAGGCAGATGTAGATGTGTCTGTACTGGAGCCTGCTCAGTCCCAAGTTACCTATCGTAGCCATCTCGGGTTTCTCGGACATATTCCGCAGGCACAGACTGTGTTTGATACCTTCAGCTGCTCTGTGTGTCTGTGAAAGCCTAAGCTGTATGCCATGCTAATCATGACAGTGAAGACCGGAGTAACTGTGCTCTAAGCATAAATGTTTGTTTGAGGCTGCTGTTGCAGGGTCCTGCATTCTAGAAGGTAAGTTATATCCAGAGATACTTTGTAAAGGAATCCCTGTGACAGAAAAGCAGCTAGTTTAGGTCCAGTTTCCTGTTCTTCATAATAGCCTTTTCCAAGATGTTAGTCTGTTCGTCAGTCTGGTTTCCCTTTCCTGATCAAGTGGCGTCCTTTGACTCTCTTACGATTTTTTTTTCCCTTTGGATCCAGCAGTCAAAATGTCCTTTGTTCAAACTAAACTCAGAATAAGGAATCTTTGATGGCAGTCTCCTTCACCACCCACACCCCGTGTTTCAACATGCTGGACTCTTTGCCAGCAGACAGTACCCTGCTGATGCATGAATGAGTAACGTTTTAGGAAAAGGAATTCTTTTGTCTGTGTTAGGGAATCCTTGTCAGTCCTATTCTGTCCCACAGGAGTAGCAGCAAGGATAGGTAAGGAAGGTAGGATGAGAAGGAGATAGAAGGGAAGATGATTCATTAACATTTAGTGTATCTGGATTGTTGAAAAATAGCATGAGATTTTTAAGTTCCACAGTACAGTATAATGTAGTTTTAAGCTATCTTGTAACAGTTTAGAAGTGCTGCAACTACCTTATTCAAAACTCTGATCCATGATAAATTCAATTCGTAGATACAAATTTCACTACAAAACTTAGATGGGTTAACTTCAGCTCTGTGAGATTCATGCCAGATCGGATACTGTGTCTCTTCACAGAGCTGCTCTAGATACTATGTTCAGTGGTGGTAAATCTGACTAATGGCGCTGGATCTGTGTCACGCTTGGGCACAAGCTTGTCTTGGCCATGATTGTGGAGCTGCTATCACAGTGCATAGTCTTTAACATTCCAAAATCTGATGGTTTTTTAATCCAGCACCAAACACTTCATGTGTTCCTTCACTCTTGACAATCACGTTCATGCCTTCTATCCTCCCGTTTTACTTAGGTTGCTGTCAGCCTGTTCTAATGTGCTTCCCTCTGAATGGAAGACTACTGTAATTAGCTTTTGCCCATGGTCTGGGTGATAGAGGACACAGGTTTAGGTAGGGAGCGATTGACTCAGCGCACTCCAGAATGTGACCTGGTACTTCAGCAGTTGTACAGCATGCTGGTTTCCCAAACAGCGAAGCATTAGAGTTTACACCACTGACCTCTTTGACCAGCATGCTAAAAGTCACTTGGGCAAAGGGCTAGAAGGGGTTTTAATTTCTAAATGCATTTTTACAGAGTCATTTCACATCAGAAAGCAGGAAGAATTTAGATTTAACTACAGAAGGAAGCACTACCTTAGTATCTGTGTCTTTAAAGCTAAGGCTTGCCTGAAAGTGGGCATTGTCAGGTATTAATCAGAATGCCATAAGCAGTGTTTTAAGGCTTCTTAGCTTTGCATCAGCATCTTGGGTTTTGCTTTTTGCTGTTCTGTAAAGCTGATGGTCAGCAAGCATTAATTTGAAAATCTTTACCCTGTTTGTCATTTAATGTTGACAGATGAGGAACCTTTCCAGCTGACTTTTATTCATTGTACTGTGTTCCTGGCATTGCCTCAGTTAAACTTGGACAATTTACAGCTGTAAACTGTAGGAACTAGAGAACCTCTGTTTTGTTTCAGAGGTTTTTGGTAGCCTCTTCTTTTTTACTTCCCTTATGCAAGCTGCACTTATGTTTAGATGAGAAGACTCAAGTATTACTGATATTAAAAAATTAAATGGCACTTTTCCTACCTCAAGGAATGTACCTGATAAAACTAATGAGCATCATTCCATTTTGTTGCATTGCAGAGGTTGTAGCATAATGGCAAATTGTAGTAGAATGGCAAAAGTGAGCAGTTTTTCTGACAAGCTTGGAAAATCACGGGCTTTGCTAACTGATCAGTGGTTTCCTATCTCTGACAACTCAACAGATACAAATTAGCATTGAGAAGGTTTGATTGCTCATCAAAACTGAGACCTTACTGAAAGACTTGTTGGACTGAAGCACAAAATCCTTCTTTACTGAAACATTTAAAGCTGTCTGATATGCTCTCTCAGTATTTGCACCAGATCGTTATGACTGCAGGTGTTGCAGAGAGCTGCGGGTGTGCCCTTAATGGCTCACTAGCCTTTATGCACCTAGCTTCTGCGTGGGGCTTGTTGCTGCATGGCAACCTGCAAGTTTCATCTAGGTTAGAGCCACAGAAATAAACTTCTCAGATGCTGTACAGAGATCTCTCTTCATAGCTACTGTCTGTTTAGAGAAAGTCAGATAACTTTTTATTTACTAAAAAAAGTAATAACATTTCTATTTTAATCAAGACTTTATTAACAAGAAGTGAATAATGCTGTTTGGAATCTGACTCTACATCAGAGGCCTTTTTTTTCTTTACTGTCTTTGTTCAGTGCATCTGGGAGCTTGTGTGGGAGAGAGAATGGGGTGAATTGAGTGTTGAGGGTTGTGTTTGGAAATATTTTCAGTTAACTTTAGTTCAGAGTAGATAATAGCAGTAGGTAAGACACTAACTCGTTCCTTTTCAGCCATGGAAGTAATCAGCTGGGGTGGTCCCAGGGCGCTCTGGGCACGAGTATTGCTGAGTGATCATTGGCTGCCACCCGCGTGACAAAGTAAAGGACCAACCCTTCAATTTATACCAGTGGAGCCAGATCACGGGAAACAATTGACAGGTAAAATACCCTTTTGAAAATTTAAGGGAGAGGAGAAGAGTACATGTGGTGTAAATGGAGCAAGGAACCTAAAAAACTGGCCACAGATAGGAAAGGGTGCTCCTCTGAAACTTGCATATCTTTAGCTTACTTCATTTTGGGGAGAGGCATACAGCAAAGCATGAGATACATGTTGCTCCCCTGGAAATACAGAGCTTCGTTAGGAACCAGTATTAATGGAGTTGTAGCAGGGAAACAACTAATGGAATTTTATTGTAGGTAGAAATTATAGTTCATATTTACGCAGGTGCTTCCAAGTCTTGAATGCTTGGTGTCTTGACATTGGGTACTTTCCACTGGCCCAAGAAATGGGATTTGGTTTTATTGGTTTTTAGAGAGGCTAAAAATAAGTGGATGAATTTTCAGGTTCACCAGCTGAGTGTACTGTAGTGAGTTACTCTAGAAGTCTTAGAATGCCATTCAAAAATGAACTAATTTCTGTGCAGTAGGTCTTAATCATGCAGATAAAACAATATTTAGCATCAGTATTTTTCTTCTGTTTTGTGGTTTTTATTTAGCAGACTGGCTGAAAATAATTTGTAAGGACTTTTAACTAAATTGTTTTTACTTATTTAGAGTTGTTAAGCTTATGCTTAGCCCAGCGTGATACAGGACTGGTGTGCCAAGTCATTTTTAATCAGTGACTCAAAATTGTGATCACCCTGATGTCACCGAATGGCCACAGCTTGTAAAAGGTAAGCATAAAGTGTATCGTGTTGTTTCTCTGGATCAATTTTAGTATGATGTTTATTTTTAAAGTATTTCATTTGTATGACTTGAAGTTAATTTTATGAATAGTATTAAGTGTATTGTTTGTTTAAGATAAGTCAGCTGGCAGAGTTGACTTACCTTTTGCTTAGAGTGATTTCAAAGCTCACTTAGCTTGTCCCTGCCTGCTCTTTAAAATAGGAGCACTGTGGTGCTGCTCTGTGGTATTCCTCTTAAGAGCAATACTCTCACTTAAAAGTCTCTAGTGGTTTTTACTGTCATACTGAAATTCTGTATAAATTGTTTAGCATACTTATTTAAGTATGGAAATGTTAATTTTTTTGAAGTATTTGTCCAGGAGGCTTGATGATGTTAAAATTTGTAGGCTTGCGTACTATTCTTTTTCTGTCCTAGAGAGATACAGTGGAGGTAAAAGGAGACAAATGGAGAAGTTGCTCCCTGTGTTTGTTGGAAGTGAGCCACCATTTGAATTTGCTAGCTCATACTGCAGTATTCAGATTAGTTGGTGTCTTGTGATCAGTATCTACGATCTAATTCAAAGCTAAAATTTGTAAGAGCATTTGCTCTGAGATTTTCTCTGAACAGAACTCTTGTTTCAGATTTTAAGCATGATGAAAGGATGTCTTGCCATGCTATATAGTTGTTTTTCAGTACTGTTGCCTGCTCAGAGGAATAACAAGACATCTGATTTGTAAACAATTGGGTATTGCAGAATAAACAGCTTCTCAACAAACAACTACAGTTCCTGTAATTAGGTTAATCTTACACATTGTTTTAATGAGAACTGAAAGCTCATTTTATTTGGCGCTTACATTGTCATTTGAAACCTTTTAAAATCTGGTTAAAAACTGTGTTAGTAGTTCTGCAAATCATACTTATGGTAGGTCTACTCATGTTATAGAAAACAATAAACTCAAGGCATTTGAGCCCTGCTTTCTGTAGACCCACTTACCTTAAATGACCGAAGCTCTTTTGACTCAGCTAGATTTTATTTTTTCTGAACTTTCCTGAAACTTTGTCTTCTCTTATATTTTTTTTGTTTGTCTTATAGAAGAAACCTTTTAGCAGTATAGCATGCACGGAACTGCACTGTCCATTCAAAGCTCAGATAAAACACAAATTAAGAGGATAGGAAAAGATTTTGGATATACTGATAGCTGTGTTTACATGTCTTTAATGCAAATCACCAGGCTACCTTTTTTATCTGCTAAGTTTAGATGCCAGTCTGCTATTTTTCTGTAATTTTTCTTACTGCTGTGTATTTTAAAGGCTCAAAGTGATTAATACTCTTGATATTTTTGTTTTAACACCACCATTTCACTTGTATTTTCATAGCATCTTAAAGCACTACTCTTACTCAAAGCTTCATTGTGTTGCATTTCCTATGACTGAAACAAAGATGGCAGCTGCCTCAAACTTCTGAGCTCTGAGCTATGAGTTTCTGAAGTCATGGATGTGAGTAGAGGAGCTAGCCAGTGTGAATGTAAATATTCTTCTTTCCACTGCTCCTCAGGTTGTATGACTTCTAGCACTTGATGTGTTTAAGTGAATATTTAGAAAAAAAAATAAAATCGAGGTTCTCTCTCTGCTAAGTATTTAGTGACTTGTTTTTTGTCAGTGGAGTTGAAGGGAAGTGAAATTTTGATTTGTTTTGTTGTTGAGCATTATTTTTGTTAGGGCTGAACTTTAATGAGTAAGGGAAACATCATCTGCAGGGAACAGAGTCCAAATTTTGAGATTGGTCAGTTTTTATGTTATTTTCCAGCTAGAGGGTATTTATATGAGCATAAGTTTAAAGTTAGTTGGATGTAAGTTCAGAATTCTGTCCCTGGTGTCAGTTGAATTTTATAACCTAGTGAAATATAAACAAATAACTTCCTGTGTTCTGCATCATCTGTCACTGCATAGTATCCAACTAGCCTAGGAACTTTTAAGTTGTCTGCCAGAAATGCTTTCTAGGCACTGGGTCTTTTAACATAGAACAGTTTGGTAAAATCGAGAAAGTTGCTGGGATCTGCTTTGTCAGTAAAGGAACTAAGATTTTTAGTAGAGAATTTGGAGAACAGTCCAGGCTTATTAGGAGGGACCATCCAGTAAAGTAGCACAATGAAATATAGAAAAAAAGGAAATGTTTCAGGCTACAGGTGGAGATTTCCAATAGCGTTTAGATTATAGGTAGTCATGTAGCAGAACTAGAGAAATTTAGTAATTCCATTCCTATAAACAAAGATTTCCTGGTGGAGCTATGGCAAAGTGTGCTTAGCTGTGCTAACTGAAGTTCCCAAGCCAACTTTGTTGGAACCTGCAAAGTGAGTTCTATTTGCAGATTTTAGCTCACTTCTGTTTTGAGAAAGCTCTGTCATGAAAGACATTTTTGTTCATGTAAGCTACAGAGTTTTACTGTAATGGCTGTACTCTATTTCCACTCCTCATGCAAGACATCCAGCGTGACAGTTCTGGTCAACTGTACCAAAATGTATACCCAAGAGAAGGCTGGATAAGGTTCTTCAGGATATGATTTCAAGGCAGCTTAAGGTGATTGAAGTTAAAACTGCTGCATTTTTACTGCCTTGTCTCCCCCCTCATCTGACTACAAACTCACTCACTGGGTAGGGGGAAGTCCCAAAGGGAGGAAAAAAATAGTCTGGCTAAAAAAAACTTAAATGTTAACTTCTTGAATCAGTGCTGGCATAAGATGGCAATAAGGAGGAGCTAAACAGCTATAATTTAGCCTACTTAAGTTAATATGGAGCTATACCCCTTAAATTACTCTGTAAATTAAGTCAAGGGGGTTGGCAAGCAGAACACGGGTGCTTCTTATGTGTTCAGAAATGCCAGGCAATAACACCTAATTCTCAATATCACTGGCTGACATGTTGGCTAGAAGGCAGAAACAGAAAGCTACCTTAATGCTTCTGCTCTGTGAGATTATGTCCATAACTTCAAGTAGAGAGAGACATGAAATTTGTTTTGAGATTCTGTTGAGATCTGCTTTTGAGCAGCTGCTTCTTAGAGTCCAAGGGTGCAGAGAATCTGTTCATAACAGTTGATCACTGATAAACTTTGAGTATACGCTTTGGTTACAAAGTTGTTAAGAAGAACTAGCCCAGGTGCACTATGCAACCTGAAGATCTGAAGTACTGCCAGCAGAACTCTCCTCTAATGGTTGCTGTTGTGTAAGCTGTGGGGAAAAAGTGCTGTCCTCCTTAGAGAAATGTGGCTTAACTATATTTTTGGGTTTTATGTTATAACCTGTCTTCTAGTGTTTGATCAAACAAATTAAATGTGCAAGTGCATAAAAGTTGATGCTTTTAGTGGCAATAATACATTACTATCACTTTCCACTTTTTCGAGCTCTTCATGTTGTAATGACTTACAAAACCTTAAGCATTGTTATTTTATCTGTATTTGCAGATCACCAGGAGAACCTCACTCTGAAAACATTGAAACTAGCCGAATGTAAGTAAATGAGTGGATGAGTTTGGTGTATCTTGTTTTAAAAATGTTTTGAACTTATGTAATAGTTACTCTTACACACACTTAAAAAAAAAGACAGCAAAAGCTGAGTAGAACTCTGGAATTGCCTTAGAAAATTTCAAGTTAGTATTTTGCTATGGAAAAATAATATTAAGCCTCTGTAGAAACTGTGATGATTGTTTTTTTCCTTAGGGAGTGGGGGATGGGCTGAAGGGTAAGTTCAGAGGTTTAATTTAACCTGAACCAGTAGATGGTAGCATAGTACAGTGTCATAAATCTTCAGGCTTATCTTCAGAATTGATAGTAGGAGTGTAATTTCTGCCTGCTATTCACTAACATCTTGCATGTGTTTGAAGACACTTCAGTACTAAGGCACAATACCTGCTAGTATCTGTTGTGACAGATGGATTGCTGAACTAAGAAGAAAAAAAAAAGTTTGACAATTTGGCAAACTTATATATTAGTTACTTCTAGAAACAGAAAACTAGCTTTGTTTCACAAAACAGTATTTGTGTAGCATCTTGCTCACTGTTTTGGAATCTTCTTTTGGTCTGTCTTCATTAGCCTAGAAGCCAAGATTAATAAGAATCAAGATTATGATAGGCTGAAATGTTCATTTCGGTTTCAAATTGAAACAAGTTGCAGGAATGAGAGGACCATTTAAAAAAAAAGTTGAGACTTTATTCTTCCGTGAGTTAGCAAACAAAGATTCTTTTCTAGCTATTCAAACTGTTCTGTCATAGAACTCAAATAGGGAAACCACAAATGCTGCTTTTCTGGCTTACAGCACAAGTTCAAAAATAATAGAGGGAGCGTAGCCTAGTGGTTATGGTACTGTCTGAGGCTTCAGAAGATCTGGGTTCCTTTCTCTTCTGCCACAAACAACTTGCCTGAGCTTAAACTGTTGCCTCCACGCCCTTCCCCCAAGTGGTCTAGCATTTTACACACTGTGGGCTGAATGCCAGTTTCAGGATGTTTTGCAGGCTAGGGACCTAGTGTGAATTGCTCAAGGACTTCTCTGTTGTAGCTGCCCAACTTGAGAAGGAGCAAGGCTGAGGTGAGCCCCTCCACATTGGACTGCATACCTAAGCTTAAAAGTGATGAGAAGGAAACAAGGAATGCTTTTCCCATGCGTTTTTAGCACTTGACTGCAGTGAAGTCTTTTCTTGCACTAGGAGGAGCATTTCTTCTAGGAGAGCAAATTTGCTTTTCCCACTCTCATGCCATCTCTTACAGAAGTGCTGTCTAGCTGCTTTCTTAAGAACACAGGTTGCAGGGATCCAGACCTGAGAGGTGACTGCGCGTTGCTGTGTGGACTTGTTTTAGAGACAGAGGTTGCAGGACAAAAACCCTGTCGTAGTCTCTTCTCCAGCTCCAGTAGCAGCCCCTGCTTTGTTATGTTTTATTGTTCCTGCAGCAAGTGGAGTTGGGTTCTTTTGTTTCCCTGGCCTAGCCAATAAGGGGAAATCAGACTGGCTGTGGTCAACTCTGGATATTGTCAGTGGGACTACTGCTTTTTACACGTTGTAAGGAGAGATGTGTCGGAAACAAGGACCTTCACTGGTGTGAAACAAAGACTCTGTAAGGACCTACGATAAATCAGAAGGAAAAGGCAGTACAACTGTTTTTCCTTCTAGCAGTTTGACAGTTCTCTTTGTGTGTGTTTTATCCTTCTTAAAACTGAACCTGAAAAAATTATTGACAATAACAAGCTTTTCTGCGTGAAAGCTGAATTTTATTTTCTTTTGGTGCTGAGTGATGATCAGAGTTGCCCTGACTATGTAGATGTATCTGTCTAAAATAGATGCAAGCCAGTAAAGCTGTAGGGATTCACGTATTTGTTTGAGTAGTAGTTATAGAGTATTAATGCATGGTATACTTGCAAAACTAATTTTTTTTTAAAACTGTGTCACAATATGATGTGTACATCACTTATTACAGAGAATTTCTGCAATCTTGCTGCATAGTTGCTCCTGACAAATAAGATGGAATGGCAGGCTGGGTAATGCAGTATGACCTGCGAGCCTACTGTATAGCTAAAATAGTTACCATGTTATTTACATGCCTATCATTCATTAGTAAATGCAGGAACTTATGCAAGTCTTTTGTTATTTGCACAATGAATGGTTGTTTTTTTTCTGGTTGGTTAATATAATTGCTTTATTTGTTCATGTGTTTTGCATTGCACAGCTTTATACCAAGAGCATAGTCACATATGTTTCATATGTGTGAATTAAAAAAAATTTTAAAAAATTTGCTAACTCTTTCGGACTCTTATGCAGCAAATTCTTCCCTGGATAACATCTTTGTGCTAGCTCAGATTTAGGAGTCTTTTTTCCTTAGCATTCGTTCAAGCCTTTGAATGAATTAAGATCAGTCTGCTCCTGTCACAGGTCAGCATTAATTTTTGACTTCAATTAGTGTAATTTTCTTAAAACTTTATCACTAGATTGCATAATTTTTCATTTAATTGTTTACTTTAACAATAACTTCTTATCAGTTCATGTATTTTCACTTTGTATTGTATGTTGACACATATCAAGGAAAAGGTTTGGGTATTCTGATACAGTGGTTGTCTGTGCATTCACCTTTCCTTCTTTCTGTTTTTGAGGTTGGGATGCTTTGCAATTCCGACACTTCTCTCTCTTTTTAAAGTCGTTGAACACCCCCACATTTAAAGTGTTGTTACAGTTATGTTTGATGTATAGTCATCTCACATCGGAGTATATTTGGTACCTGGTTTGTTTCCCTTGAAAGAATGGTAAAATAAAAATGCTGCGGCAACCTCAAAATATGCCAGAAAAACAAATTACAGCTACTGCAAATATATACAGTAACTGTGTTAGTGTTTCATGGTACATACTTTCACTTGCCATCCTGGTGCTTTCTAGACATAGAATACCTTAAATTACTTTCCTTAGAGCCGAAAACATGGGTGGGTTTGCGTAGCATAACTGTGGGACACGCTGATCATGGCCTCTGTATCAAACCTTGCCACGCACAGGTATTTTTGTGGCACTGGCTTCGTCTTTTATTGCCATTCTTGGAAGGAAAAGATGTAAGAAGTGTCTTCATATACACTTGCAGCCTTGCACTTTGTTATACTGTGATCTGTCCAGGATGAATTAAAAAACTTCTCAGAGCCTCTTACCATGCATCATTTAGCCAGGCCATGATTCCCTTGAGGAAACTTCATCAGTTAATAAGACTGCATTGACTCTACTCAAGAGACTCTACTTAAATTTAGCAACTACTTAAGTTACAATTAAGTGTCTGTTTTACTGTTGCTTCTAAGAGCAAAAGTGCAGTAAGATAACTTGACTGAATTTTATAATAGTTTGAAAGAAAAGAAATTCAGATTTTGCACTAGAAAATATAACTGAAGCAAATGTATTATAGACCTTGGTTCCCATGGAGCTTAGAGGATGCTGTAAATTTACCAGTTAAAAATAAACAAAAAGCTTAGAGGAGCTGTCTAATCCACAAATGCTAGCCTGTTCTTAAATTGTAAATGCAGGTGTTGATGAGTCTTATGATCCATGTTATTTGCACTTGGTTTCTGCATGATCGTGGTCATCCTTCTAGGACAGTCTCACGCAGAATGAAGGCATATTAGAAGAATGCTACCATGGAAACCTAACTTTAAAAAAGTGTTCTGGAGTTTTAAAGAACTTGAAAACAGAGTTGTGTGATTGTCCCTTTCCTCTACCTGGCCTCTTTTCTTCAAGTGGTACAAGGAGAGCACAAGGCTCATCAGCATTTAGGTCTCTTCTCTGCAGGTTGATCTTGCATGCTGCAGTGGTCTGTCCTCTATCAGTGAGATAGTTTGTCTCTTATATCATGCTTTCTACTGAAACACTCCAGTGGTCCAGAAGTAGACAATTGGAATCAGTGTCTCCAAGTTACTGTCTATATCTTTTGATATCTCACTGTGCAGTAATATCTCCTTTCTTTGGTTGGGCTGCTGATCAGAATACAGTTATAAATTTCATACCTGACAAATTTAAGCTTGTTTAGTAGAGTACAACGTAAAGTTTAATTGTACTTGCATGAGTGCCAGGGCTTCTTTAACCAAGGGAAGACAACATGGAAGGTACTATTTCATAAAATATTATTTTTTTTTTCCTGAATGTAAAAGACAGATTCCTGCAAGTATGTGAAGTTACTGTCATTTCATTTCTTTGCAATAAAGACAAAGTTGGTCTTACTGTGGCCTCACAGCCAGTACAGAATATGAGAGTTTTAAACTCTCTACTTGATAATCTAAAACAAAATTTGAAGACCTTTTAAGATGTTTTGTGTGGTTAAAAGTGATTATTCTTTGGAAATTTAACAGCTGATAACAATTGCATAATTTTCTTTAAAATATTAAGAATAACAGATTTCTTCAAAGAGAGTAAGATGTTTTAAGTTTATAGTCAGTCCTAAACTTACTAATAAGTTTATTCCAGTAGTAATTCAAGTTACTTTTTCTTCATAGTTGAGTAAATCTATGAAGGCTATGTTTCTCCCTGCCTTTTCAAAAGGCACTGATACTGTACATGACGATAGTATTTAAAACACAGCTAAGTATGCCTCCAGTCATTACAATTTACATATGTGGATTGCTTACAGTAATTGCCTAATAGTTTCCTCATAATCAGTTATTTAATTGCGTCAGGCCTGTAAAGTTGGGGTGGAGGGGGAATTGAGGATTTTTCCTGAAATAGCTTGGGTTAAAAAGCCAGGATATAGTTGATGCATTATTCATCTCTCTCCTTTTTTTTTTTTTTTTTTGGCTAATTGAATGTTGTAGGGATCACATAGGTGACAGGGCACTGCATGTCTTCTTAAGAAGGACAGATAGGAACCAGCATATGAAACCAGTTGGTCTGTGGAATGACATTATCACTGTAGAGTCCTGAAGCTAATAACCTGAAGAGGAGAGAGCAGTAATGAAGCATGCCTTTCTGATACGACTGTAGTAAAGTAATTTGGCCGTG